GAATAAGTTAAACGTAAATAAAATCTAAAAATGATGTTAAATACTACGGCTGTGAATAAATTAAACGTAAATAAAATCTAAAAATGACTAGTTAAATACTACGGCTGTGAATAAATTAAACGTAAATAAAATCTAAAAATGATGTTAAATACTACGGCTGTGAATAAATTAAACGTAAATAAAATCTAAAAATGACTAGTTAAATACTACGGCTGTGAATAAATTAAACGTAAATAAAATCTAAAAATGATGTTAAATACTACGGCTGTGAATAAATTAAACGTAAATAAAATCTAAAAATGATGTTAAATACTACGGCTGTGAATAAATTAAACATAAATAAAATCTAAAAATGATGTTAAATACTACGGCTGTGAATAAATTAAACGTAAATAAAATCTAAAAATGACTAGTTAAATACTACGGCTGTGAATAAATTAAACGTAAATAAAATCTAAAAATGATGTTAAATACTACGGCTGTGAAAAAATTAAACGTAAATAAAGTCTAAAAAGTATACAAAAACAAAAATTCATTCTGTGTTTGTTGGTAAAAACGTGAAAACTCATTCCAACACAAAAATAAAGCAAATTCAACAGAGCTTTCCGATTTATATAGGAAATTGAAATAAATGGGATAAACTAACACTATAATAACATAAAAAATTGTTGATAAAGTGCAACTGTTTTAACCAGGAGGAAAATTATGTCAATTTATTATATCAAATAAAAAGTACCACATTATAAGCTCAAAATTAAATATACTAAACAAAAGAGTTAGTATAAAAACAAATTTTTTATAAAAAACTTAAAAATCATCCAAGCGGACACTACTCAGTGTAGTTAAGGCAATTTAAAAATATTATAGCGTTTGTATAATATTTTGTTGATATTTTAGTTAAATGATCAGGTTTGTGAATTTTGAAAAGACAAAAAAAAATTAAAATGATAAATTTTACAATAAAAATATGTTTGTAGCGAAAAAACCCAGACCAAAGATTCTTTTTTTTTTTTAATTTTCTTAAAATTATGATTGCTCAAATTAAATTTTTTTTTTTATAGATAAATATGCTTTTTAGGTAAAATGAACATCATAGTTTAATAATATGATCTGTTCTGTTTGTTTATTGGCAATTTTTCTCAACTATATGCTCTTTCTTGGTCAAAATCTAGTATTTTTTATGAAAATTGATAGAAATATTGTATTTTGACAACTATATATAGTTAATATATGTCAGAACTGATTAGAGCTAGGATCTATAGTGGTTTAAGGCACTCTTTCAAAAGGTTTTAGCCAAATTCATGTTAATGCCATTGAGCGAAAGTGATCTAAAGACTCCAAAATGGTGTTCTTTAGGTTCACTATTAGGAGTAGTAAAAAGGTTTTGAAAATTATATATTAAAAAAAAGTTTTTTAAGTATTAAAAAAACCTGAAGCAAAAAAAATTATAACATCTAAAGGCCGTTTTCCACAAGACGAAATTTTCGGGCGAAGCGAATTTTTTCGCTATGATGAAACGGTGTTTTGATTTCCGTTTACTTTCTTTCGCGCTACTTTTTTTTCATTGTCAACAATAAAAATTGCAGCAATAAGTTTACAGTGTATATTCAACTAAAGGCAGTTATTACTTTTTTTAGCATACTTTCTACTTTGAAGCATGTGAAAATTTCTTTCTGTGCATTAATAATAATATTTCTGTCTTTATATGTAAGATGTGATATCATTTTGTAATATAATCATTTAAAATAAGGTTTTTTTTACAAGAAAGTATAAGAAAATAAATGCTAAACTCTGATATGATCATTTCTATTAAAAACTTATACTGCAAAATTGAACACCAGGTTTAACTCTATGTAGGGTTTTACACAATAAGGTTTATCTTTTTGTGGCCACTTGAAGATAAACACTCTTATAAAGTGTAACTTTCGTAATTGACAGTGTGAAAATTTATATTTGTAAACTCTCGATTTAGTTTCATATATAAGTCTTGTCATTTTTTTTATATAAGCCTTGCTCCTTGTTTGATGAATTTACTCATGCTTGCCAATTTTCAGAGTAAGTTCATATAAAATTAATAACAACGCTAGGTTAAGAATTATGTTTTTTGTTACTTAAAAACAACATGGTTTCGCTTTTTTTTACTGTTGATATCACATGATATAATATTCAAAACTTGATTGGTTTTCGCATTTGACGATTTACAAAAAGTCGAAATGAATCCGACTTTTTTTTTCGCTGCAGCGGAAAAAAATCAGAAAAATTACCAAAAATGTTTAATCTGCGCATGCTTATCGACGAAAAAATTTGCTTTGCGCAAATATTTTGTCTTGTGGAAAACAGCCTTAAAGCTCTTGTTTGGGCATAATACCCTTACAAAATCATGCTAATTCCAAATAAAAGAATTCAAATAATTTGTAAATCACCTTAACTACACCAAGTACATAGTATTTTATTGATTAATTTTGTTGTTGTTAAAATTGCTTGTGACAATTGAGACTTGCAATAGGTATGAAACTCAGTCATGTTTGTTTCATTACCAGGTCTTATGATTTAATTTTATCTAATATAGCTGGCTCTAATCAGCATCTAAGCAGGCTGTAAGAGATGTATGCATCTATGACAGATGTATGACTGAGAAAGTGACTGTGTTTAGATGCTCAATTTTAAATAAATGTCTCCATATACTTTCTAAAATTAGGTTGATTCAAATGTTTCAAGGCAAAATAAGAATTCAAAATCTTGGCTCCAAGATAGTTGTGTTTCAATATCTCCTTCAGAAGAACTTTTAGTGGTTTCAAAAGATGATAAATGTGTTTTTCTAACAAGTAAGTTTTTTTTTAATGAAATATATACTAATTGTTCATAAGGCTTGTTTGTCTATAGTTTTCAGTGGTTTATTGTTCATGTTACTTGATTTTTAAAAATACAAATTCATTCCCAAGAAAGCAGCGGGTTGCCTTTATTTAAGTTAAGAATGACTTGGTGATTTGAATGTCTTTAACTGTTTTAGTCTTTATTATGGAAGTAAGATTTACAATTTGATTTTTTAAAAGATTTTTTGAGAGGTGTACATTTTTGAGAGGAGTAAGTTCTTGAGAGAACGTTCTCATGTGTAGAGTTATTAGCTTTTTATAATATTTTTATATTATTTTATTATTTTTATATTATTTTATTATTATTATATTATTTTTATATTATTTTTTATTTTTATTTTTATAAGATTGTTTTTATTTTATTTTTTTATAAACTTGAGCAAATTTTGTTTTAGTCCAAATTGTTGTCAATTCACATTTTTGTTGATTTTAGCTGATTGTTGACCTTGGCTGTTTGTTATTTTACACACTGCAAAAGATAAGATCTCATTGTCTATTGAGTGATAATAGTATGACCCATGGTAATACATTGTAGGACTATATTGTTTGAGCTAGTCATTATTCATTATATTATTTTTGGTAGCATTATTGTTCTATTATATCTGGTAACATTCTATTATTACTTTTCTATTATTCTATTATTACTTTTGGTTGCATTCTATTATTCTATTATTTTTGGTGGCATTCTATTGTGTTTTATTTACTGCTTTAAAACTATTATAATTTAACCTGGTGGATATTGTTTCACATTTTCTTGTGATTTGTATTTTTGCTTTCATCAAATAATTGTTTTATCTCTCATTATCACAATGTCTACATAGACATGAGATTTATCATCTATAAAAACAAAACGTCGGTGGTTTTTATGTCATTTCTTAATTACATATGTTATCTCATCTGTTTTCTTTAGTGTGTTATTTTTTTTTGATGGATTTTATATTTAACTGATGCCAATATGTATATTTAATAAAACTTATTAATAAAACAATTAATTGATTTTATTATATATATACTCTCATTAATAAAACAAAAAATATAATATTAATAATAAGATTTTAATATATATATGCTCTCATTAATAAAACAAAAAATATTTGCTCATTAATAAAAAAATTTTAAAGTGTAATATTTATTAAAAAACTCCAAAAGCAATCTGAACTTAGTTATCAGATAAAATTTGCAATATGACTAAAAAAGTGCTGATAAATATTTTATTTGTATATATAATATTTATATTATTATAATATTTATAATATATAATATAATATTTATAATAATTTATAATATATGATATAATATTTTATTTATTGAAATAAAATTTAAATGCTTTTTTTCTTTGTTAATAAAAAATAATATTAACAATAATGTCTCTATTACTTGCTTATCTCAGTTTTTTTTTGATATTATTAGAAAGATGGGAAGCAAAGAATGATACAAATTTTTATGATTTGTTATGGAGCGGAAATCTTTCAACAAAAGAGGAGTATATATACTTTTTTTGAATTTATTTTTCCAACATTTATTATTCTTGTTTTATTATTTTATTGATGGTTATTTTTAATAACACATAAAAATGAAAGATAACTCATAATTCTACAAATTTTATTACTAAAGATTGACAAAATCACACTTATGTTATCTCCCCAAGGTGAAGGGGTTCACTATCGTCAAAGAGACTACTTTTTTTTATTTTTTTAATTGTGGTTACAACCCCCTCCTCCACTCTTCAACTTCGAAACACCTTGTATCTTGATGAAAAATTTATTTTTACACAAATCAAATAAATTTTTAGTAATTTTTAATTATGTTTTGTATAACACTAAACTTTTTATGGTTATTAAAAATTAATAAACTTATTAAAATAATAACTCAAATATCATGTTTATGTTTTTGTTATGGATGATAGTTTTTGCTTTAAACTTATGCTTATAATGTTGGCCTTTAAAGTTTAGATAATAATGAAGACATAAGCGAATAATATATTATAAGATACATTTGAACAAAAAATATAATTTTTTTCTTTCATTCATTTAAAAATATTTTTCTTATGAAGATGATAGGTACAGCCAATTAGTTGATCAAAGATAACTTACCCTATCTATTTATTGTTTTTTTAATAATATTAATCTATACAATGTTTATACAATCCAGTTTATATAATGCTATGGTTTCTATTTTTTCAAACAGATGTTTAAGTTTTTATCAATAATTTATTTGTTATGCTTTAAAATGAACAAAGATAATTTTTATTATTATTTTATAAACTGCATAAAATAAATATCTTAATAAGTAATGTGTTCCCCTCCCCCTTTCCCCCCACACACACACAAAAAAAAGGTTTTTTTTTTCATTATATTTATTTACATGTACACATAATCAAAGCAGCCTTTCAAAGTTGGTATAAAGTTTTTTCTACATAATTTTAAGCATGATTGATAAAATTTCATTATTCAACAATATTTTTTTATATACCTTAACCAGGAGGCTGAATAAGATGTTGTTCATAAATTTCCTTACTCAAAATTTTGACCCTCCCAGTCCCTCCCAATCTTATCACAACATTGTAACTCTTTATAACAAGTTCTGTATGAGCCCTCGCAAAACCTCTAAACCCTCCCTCCCCCTAAGAGCGCGATGTAACGTATGGACAACTTCTAAGTGCGAATAGAACAAGTGCAAAACAGTTGGCATAACTGCCAACATGCTTAAATGCAAATTGGCATAAGTGCTCCAAAAGTATTCACAAACATTACCATAAGTGCAAATCGACATTAGTGCAAACTGTCATAGGTCCGAAGCAGTTGTAAAAATGGGTATATGTATGAGCAGGGATGAACCTAGATCTGTTTTGGCGTTGCTGGAGCGGTATGGGCGTCCAAAAAAAAGCGCACAAATTTTTTTATATTTTTTCATTTTTATTACTTTTTATACTAAATAAGAAAAAAATTCTAGTTTCAAATGCAGTAATAAATAACTAACTTTCTTTTTATTTTTATTCTGTCATATTTAAAATAAAATTTAACATTAACAGGGACAAATCCCGACTGTTTTGGTACCGCTGGAGTGATATGGGTGCCCAGATAATATTTATTATTTGTTGTTTTTATTTTTATTTTTTATTAAAATTAAGAAAAATGTTTTAGTTTCGAATGCAAAAGTAAATAACACATTTTTCTGTATATTTAGGTAGTTTATTTTTTCTTCAGGACAATAAAATGAATTAAAAAGTAATTACTTTAACTAGTTTAATGTTTAACTTTTAAAACTCATTTAGTTAATAATCAAACATTAGATTTAAAAAAATAAAAGTTCTTACGAAACTCAATTTAAAAACCCGTTACAAAATTTAAAGGCAATTGAATGTATGAAAAATTTGTTTCTTTAAAAGATTTTTTTTGCTGGAAAAAATATAACTATAAATTTTTAATATTTAAAATTTAATAATTCTTCAAAAGACAGAACGATTTTAAAATATCCATTTAGAGTGAAGTTAATTTTTTTTGGGCAATTAAGAGTTTTTAATTTTAAACTGTTTTTGATAATAAATGATCAAAAGTAAAAATTTCAGTCTTAATAAAATTTAATTTTTGAATGAATGAACTTTATCTCTTTAGCTTGCTATTTTATCTTACACTAAGAAAATGAAAAAAAAAAGCGAAAACTTTTTCAAAAGGTTTTGTTTCTTTTTCACATTCTTTTCGACTAAATAATAATGAAAATAATGATTACAATAACTTAAAAGTTTTATTAAGACTTGGTTATTTTTAAAATTCAATGTCTTTAATGTTTAAAAAATCCGTCGTAAATGTAACTTATTTATTAAACGCAATTTTTTAAATTATACTTAATGATTAAAAAAATAATTTTTTTAAAAAAATTATTTTTTAAGTTAACCGCAATTATCTCTTTAATTTAAGGCGCCTTTAGGCACTTTAAAAATTATTAATCTTTAGTAAAAGTTTAATTAACATATTATATTCAAGTCAAAATTAAAATTAGAACAATAGCAAATTAATTTTGTATTCGAATAGTTTTTGTCTATATAGTGCAAGCCTTCCCAGGAAAGGCGTGGTTTTTTTTTTCTTGTATGACCACATGCGATTACATTATTTTAGAAAACGTGAACATGGTTGTTTGCAAGTTTTATAATAATGCTAAAAAAGTTTCAAAAACAAAAATAACATAACTAACAAAATAAAATAAGATTGACATAGAAAAAAATAAAAACAAATTAATAATTTAAATAATTTGTGTACTGTTTTTATTTTTGTTTCTTTAGAATTACATTCAGCAACAAAAATTAGATAAGGCGAAGCAAAAAAAAAAAACAGTTTGAAGTCTACAATAAAAAGAATAGTTTTCCTTTTCTTAATTTTTTTTAAGAGGATAGCGAAAATACAAATTGCAATGTGTTTGTAAAATTTATTTATATAATTTTAATGTAAAAACAAAGGTTAAATTAAGCAAATGCAAAACGCAAAATCTGGAAAAATATCTAGTATTCAAAATTTTAGTTTATACAAAACCGTGTTCCTTGTTTTTAAGGGGAGAATCAACTTAAATTTGTTAGCGAAAAGTTAAAAAGTAAAACAATAAACTTACGATTACAAAAGTAATAACACTCTAGTCACTAACTGCATTACATAAAGTAATAACACTATAATAGTGTTATTATTTTTATAACCCACTTATAACTTTTAAAATTCATTCTTTGTTCAAGCAACATTAGTATTCCCAAATTTTAATTGAAGTAGAAAAATATCTAAAAGAACAAAGTGTGTGTTTAAATAATATTAAAACTAAAGTAACTTATAAAAATGTGACAAACAACTTTATGAAAACGTATCGTATTAAAAGTTTAGCATTATCAAAAACGTTACTAATGGACCGTAAAGATGCGCGTTAATTTAAAAATTAACCAATAAAAATTTTTTATTGGTTGATTTTAAAATTAACGCACGTTTTTACATAATGTTTTTCATAATGCTATACTTTTTATAAATGACTTTTTTATAACATTTTTTAGTGATATGTTGTTACATATCACTTACAAACTTGTTACATTATAATTATACAAATATATTTTACAAAAAGATGACAATACATATTTTCTCTTTCTTCTTTAAAAGGAAAAACACAAAATATGGGAAAGTCATCCTTTTTAATGCCTAAAACAGTTTTTTTTTTTTTTTTTTTTTTTTTTTTTTTTTTTTTTTTGCTTTGACTTAATGAATTTTGTTGCCGATAATAATAACCACTAAGAAAAAACAAAAATAAAAACAACACACAAATTATTTAAACTATTATTATTGTTTTCTATTTAAGTTAACTTTAATTTCTTAAGTAGTTATTAAATTTAAAACAATTTTTCAGCAATGCATGTAATAAAACTTGCGCAAAAGGCTGTGATCACGTTCTCTAACCTCTACGAAAAACGTTTTCGTGGTCGTACGAGACAAAAAACTGCACACCTTTCCTGGGAAGGCTTGTAGTGTATTGTATTATATATAAAACAAGAGGGCAAATTAAGTGATAACAAATTGAAAATTCCGTAAAAAAACTCTGCTCTTTAAATTTTATGTTTCTTGTAAAACTGTTACGAATGGTCTGAAAAAAACGCGCAAAAATGGTTTTTAAGAAAAACAAAATTTGAAGACCAGAAGCTTTTACGGGATTTTCAATTCGCGATCATTTAATTTGCCTCTTGTAATATATTATTAAAAACTGTTGTCGCAGCACAAGTTTTAAACTAGAGGAGGAGGGGTTATTTTAAGAACTCCCCTCCTCCTTCCTCCTCATTGCTAAAAAAAAGCAGTATCCCTAATTAAGCTCTGGGTTCATCACTGATGGATGAGCAAAAATATCTGAATTGCAGGATATCCTAATTTACAGTCTGGTATCCATTTTAAAAAGTTCAAAAGTATATATATCCAATCTGGAAAAAGCAAAATTTAGATTAAGAAGTATTAATAAATTGGATATCCAGAACTCTGTTTTCCAAATTTATTAAAAAAATAAGAACTTTATAGATAATTTAGCAAAATGTGCAGCTGTGGCGTAGTGGTTTGATGCCGGCTCAGGCCCAATAAGTTACATTTGTAATGAATCGCGACTTAACATAAATTAACATAATTTAACATAAATTTATATATTAGTCCATAAATTACAAAGATTAATTTTAAAGTAATTATTTAATGCCTATTAAACTTATAAAGTTAAGATGTAAATATATTTTTTTACAGGTATGCTTTTAAAAAAGTATTTTTTACAACTTGAAAATATTGTTTATATAAATTTTGATTAATTTAATTTTAATCAATTTAGTAAATAATATGCAAGTACTGGTGACAGATCGAAACTTTTTGAGTATTTTAAAGCTCCTTTTCATGTCATTAACCTTGGATTTTATTTTCAGAGTTTCTTTTACAATAATCTTTTATTTTGAATCAGGACCCCCAAAACTGAAGAGCCTAGGGCTATACCCTTCTTTAGTGTGCCCCCTCTCTCCTTAATCCAGCACTCGTAAGTACTAAATAAAAAATATTGAATGTGTTTAAAAAATGTCCAGAGTGTTTATTTTATCTTAAGAGAAACAAATAATTTACTTTTGTTAAAACTTATTCACAGATTTTTTATGTGTATTGCTTAAATATTTTATTTTTCTAACTTTTTGAAACTTTTATTCTTTCAATAACTGTTTTTATGTGCATTGCTTTAGTATTTTGTTTTATACACTTTTATTCTTTCAATGAATTGTTATATATTTTAATGAAGTTCTTTTTTTGCAAATTTAATTAATTTTCTGGAAAGAAAAAATATGCGCCATGAACTCTCTGAAATGCTAAAACAAAGACAAATGTTTTTTATACACCCTGGTGGTTAGATATTATTGTTGTATAATTAGTTTTAGATTTAGGTAAATCCAGAGAACCAGAATAGAATATGCACTATCAGAAAATCTGGTATTGGATTCAGACTCTGGCTAACAGGACCGGTTATCCAATTTTGCTCACCCCTAGGTATAAATGCAAATAGGTATAAGCACAAACTAGCATACATGCGTCACAAGAATTTGAGAATAAGTACAAGAAAGAATTTGAAAATGTTATAATAAGTGCGACTTGGCATAAGTGCAAACTGTCATTGGTGTGAAGCATATGCAAAAACTGGTAAAACTGAGTATAACTGAGGGCAAACTAGCATAAATGCATTGAATAAATTTGCTACCCAATGTGAATCTGTATGTTGACTTTTACTTATGGCATTTACAAATGTTTTGGATGCACTTATGCCAGATTTTGCACATGTTAATTTATGCTTTGCATTCATAAAGATTTGGATTTATGCCAATATACACTTATGCCAATTTTTACAAATCCTTTCGGTGCACTTATGCCAGTTTGCATTTACAACATAGTTTTTGCAATTATTTTGCACTTATTGCAGTTTTTACAATTGTTTTGCACTTATGGCAGTTTGCACTTGTACCAATTTGCATTTATATTCAATGTTTGCAAATTCTTTCAGTGCACTTATGACAGTTTGCACATATGCTAAATCGCATTTATGCCAATGTTTGTATATTTTTCTGGCGTACTTCTGGCACTTAATACTTAAGCCAGTTTTTGCAACTGTTTCCCACTAATGCCAGTTCACACTTATGGCAGTTTGCACTTATGTCAATGCTTTCAAATTCTTTTGCGCACTTATGCCAGGTTTTACAACTAATTTGCACTTATGCCTGTTTGCACTTGTGCTAATTTGCATTTATATTCAATGTTTGCAAATTCTTTCAGTGCACTCATGGCAGTTTGCACTTATGCCAGTTTCCACTTAGGCCAGTTTTTGCAACTGTTTTGCACTTATGTTGTTTGGCACTTTGCAAAATTATGTGTTGCAGATTTTATGCAAAAACTGATTAATTGCAAATCTGCATAACATTTTATGCAAAATGTTATGCAGATTTGCACTTAATCAGTCGTCCCATCTGAGCTGCTTGAATTAGGCCTAGCAATTAAAGCAAAGAAATATGTTAGACTTATTTAAACATTGAAAAAGATCAGATGTTGGTAAGAAAATTTAAAATACATATAAAAATCACCAAAGAAAATTTAATTTTGTAGTCAACATTTTATTTAAATGTTAAATTAAGATTGTGATCATAAAAAAACAAAGTATCTTTACAGCTGTAATATGTGGCTATGTTATGTGGCTATGTTATGTGGCTGTAAATATGTAGCTATGATGCTGCTATAAATATGTAGCTATGATGTTACTGTAAATATGTAGCTATGATGTTACTGTAAATATGTGGCTATGATGTTACTGTAAATATGTGGCTATTCACATGTTGTAATGTAAAATATGTTTGTTACAAAGTTACAATATAGAGCAATAAAAACTTAGTGTGTATGTGTATATATATATATATATATATATATATATATATATATATATATATATATATATATATATATATATATATATATATATATATATATATATATATATATATATATATATATATAATAAATATAAAACATATACTTTAATTTTTATCACTTGATGATTTTATTTCAATATATTCTTTATATAATATATAAATTTCTAATATTCTAATTTCATTATTATTAATAGTGATTCTATTACATGTATTGCTTGTGTTCCTATGGCATCACAGCAAAGGTTTGTGGGTTTTTTATACTTCAGGAAAAGCAGTGTTAGTTGTTATATTATCTTTTTATAATTTAGTTGAATTTTTTTTTTAATATTTTGTTTTATTATTTTTATATTTTATAATATTAAGTTTTTTGTTCATTAGATCATCTGAAGGTAGTCCTGATTGGACTTGCATAATTGCTGGTTTTTCATCCGGATATATTCGCATATATATGACAGTATATATATTTTTTAAATCATTCTTTTCCTTTTTTATTACATTTTACAGAACATCATAGTACCATATTTTATTGTGGACAATTCAGAACAAAATATTTTCTCAGTTTTGTTTATAAAATATTTAAACAAAAAATAAATTTCAGCTAGTAAAAATCAAAACTGAACAATGGACAAAGATTATTTAAGGTTTTTAATTTTAGGGGTACTCATTATGTTTACCTGACATTTTTTAAAAAATTATAAATGGTTATACATAGGTAAACATGAATATAGTTTAAATACTATAATTTTTTGTGCGCATAAATTGCAGAAACTAAATTTTCTGAGCCAAACTGTCTTATTAAAAACATATTTTCTTTAATAATTTAATATATATTTTTTTACTAGAATGGTAGTCAACTTTTATGTCAGTTTCTTCATGATGCTCCAGTTGTTTCTATAAAGTTGAAGACAAAACAGCATTTTTTACCACAAGGAGCAAATGAGGTTTGTAATCAATAGTTATTTTATCCTTTGATATCTATTTTATAGTTCAAGCCATTTTATTTAATTATATATACATACCATTTTACCATACATATAGTTAATAGCATAACAAGAGTTCATATCAAACCAAACAACAAGCAGTTTTTTTGTCAAACTATGGGTTTTATTATTTTGTGGTCTTCCCATAAAATTACACAGGCCAACAGCTATTTTGGTGCCGGGGTATTTGCAGCAAATTTTATATAAGTTTGATGCCCTAAACTCAAATATACCGTTAGATTTTACCAATCAGCTCGCATTTTTGAGATCATTTTAATGAAATAAGAAGCGCCAATGAGGGGGCTAAGGGGGGGGGGATGACTCCTTTACCCTAAAAAACAAAAAATTTTCATACCTTTTATGAAAATGGTTTTTACCCTTTTGAAAAGGGTTTTGATTGGGGTCAAATTAACAAAATAAACATGAAATTTTAATTAAATTTTGATTATTATGCTATAGAAATGTATAACTATATGGTATATTACACTCTGTTATATATATAGTTATTATATGTAAAGACAAAAGAAAAAATTTTTATGAAACAAACTATAGTCATTAAACAACCCAGAAACTTCTTTTCCGTGACATTCTTGAATATATTTTAGAACAATCTCTTTTTAAATTCCAGCAGTAATCCGCCATCATGTGCGTATCCCATCTTCCTTGGTACCGATCCTCCATAGTTTTAATATCTTGGTGAAATCTTTCACCTTGCTCCTCACTCATGTCTCCTAAGTTTTTAGGAAAACGATCTAAATGGCTGTGTAAATAGTGCACCTTAATAGTCATATTACATCCGAGGGATTTGAAACTGCTAAGCATGTCGTCAACCAGTTTAACATAGTTTTCATCTTTGCGTTTGCCCAGAAAATTTCTGACAACTGCAACAAATGAAGCCCAAGCCTTTCGCTCAGTTTCATTCATCGAATTCACGAAGGCAGAGTCATTAATAAATTGTCTGATTTGCGGACCATCAAATACTCCTGCTTTAATTTTTTCTGTATTCAACTGTGGCATCTTCTCCTCTATATATCCAAAACATTATCCGTTTTTATCAAGAGCCTTTACAAACTGCTTCATAAGGCCCAGCTTGATATGCAGTGGAGGAAAAATGATTTTATCTTGTTCAACTAAGGCGTTGTTAATTAAATTATTTTCCCCAACTTCCATGTTTTTTCTCTTTGGCCATTCTTTTTTAGTCCAGTGGTGTGTGTTGTCCCTGCTATCCCAGAGACACAAAAAGCAAGGATATTTAGTGTAACCAGCTTGTTGTCCCAGGAGAAAGTTAACCATTTTTAGGTCCACACAAATCACCCATTGATGTTGCTGATACTTTAGCTTTTTCAAGATTAAAGCAATGGTGTTATATTCTTCTTTCATTTTTGTTGAGTGAGCAATTGGTATTGAACCAAATTTGTTTCCATTGTGCAGAAGAACACAATTCAAACTTCGCTTTGAGCTATCAATAAATAGACGCCAGTCATCTTGAAAATATTTACGAAGACTCATCTTTTCTAGGAGTCCTCTAATTTCGTGACAAAATACAAGATCTTCTTCTTGAGAGAAGAAGGGTAGCAGATCCTTTTCTCGTGTACGGTAGAAAGTAATTTTGGTTCCTTGTTCCAGTAAATTTTTGTCCTTCAATCTGGAAGCAAGTAACTCAGAAGCTTCTTTTGATATATTGAGATCTCTGGTAAGGTCATTCAACTCATCTTGGTTGAATTGTTGTGGAATAGATGCCTTTTCTTTTCATAATCACTGTCAATTTCATTAGTATCAAAAGAATTAGAAGCACAATATTCATCCTTGCAGAGCTCTGGTAGCTGGAGAAACGTTGGGATTGGAACTTCCTCTGAGTGAAGAACCGGTCGTCTTGCAGATAATAAATCAGGATAAGTCCACTTGCTACGGTTGTTTCGATTGATTCCAGTAATATTTAATATGCAGAAATAACAATCATTGAAATGGTTTCGTGGTTCTCTCCAAACCATTGGCACGCCGAATTTCATACTTTTTCTTTTCCCGGTAGTCCACTGTTGTAAATGTTCTGTACAAGTTTTACAGACCTGATGTGGGGCCCAGGTTTTATCTTGATCCCCAAGCCTAACACCAAAGTATGCAAGATAAGCCCTCTTTAAAAAGTCACTAACTTTTTTTCTGTTTTCTTTTAACATATGTTCTCCGTATATGTAGCAAAACACATCAGGGTGATTCACACAACTTCTTCTATTCGAACTCATTTTATCTAGATCTAAATACAAAAATGCAAGAACAATTTACAACACAATACTATTTAGGTTAACTTAACAACAACACTTCAGAAAATAGAAATATCGCGCGACACCAACTTTCATCTATTCCGCACGGCAACAACTTTCATACTAATTTCAATTATAGTTGAAGTTCACTTAATTTACAGTATGGTTACCCCACCTAGTGGATTTTCCTGTTGCAAACAGACCAATAAACTGAATATATAACAAATATATAGAATATAGTAACCAAACATTGTCTATACGAGTTATAACATTACTTAATGGAGTTAAAACTGTTAATTTCATGTAAAATCGCACCAAAAATTTATCTCAAAAACTAGAGCTGATAGAGAAAAACTTCAAATTCAGATTCAGCAACAAAAATATAGCTGAAATCAATTATTAAATCTTAGGCACCAAAAAACTTTTTTTTTTTTGTAGGCCTGTGTTATTAATTAAAAATTTTTTAAATCAAGGTTGATGAACTGTTGATCATGTACGCTCAAGCTATAGTCACTATCGATGGTTTTAGTTTGTATCAATCTTTAAGAGCTTGTAGAAACCAATTAGCAAGAGGTATTTAAAAAGAAGATTTTCATGTTTTTTAAATAACAAATAAAGTTCTGATTTTTTTGTTTTTTGTTGGGTTTTAAAGAAGTTATGCTTTTTAATTTAAATATATTTTATTTATTTTTATTTTTATTAATTTAACATTCCCAAGACTACCCAAGTTTTTCAATATGTTTTGCTCTTCCATAATCATCAATTCAAATCTTATTTGACAATTAATTCAAGTTAAACAAGCTTTTAAAGCCTAAAAAATAAAAGGAACGTTCTATCAGTAGCAGTATCAAAGTAGCTCTACAAAATTTCCAATAACTCTTGCTTTTCACTTGAGTTTTGTAGGGTAAAGATATTCACTTAAATTTTGTAGGTTAAAGGTTTTTACTGAAATTTTGTAGTTTAAAAGTTTTTACAGAAATTTAAAAGTTTTTACAGCACATATTTGCAAAACAGGTTTTTATTTTCCTCCTACCATTTTGCAAATTTTAATGAATTTTAGGAAGTCTATTATTAATGTTTTTAACTTGTAATTTAAGTTTATTAACTTAACATCTTGTCTTATGAATTAACTTAACATCTGGTCTTATGAATTAACTTAACAGACAATTTTCATATGAATTAACTTAACATCTGGTCTTATTAATTAACTTAACAATTTTCTTATGAATTAACTTAACATCTGGTCTTATGAATTAACTTAACAATTTTCTTATGAATTAACTTAACATCTGGTCTTATGAATTAAATTAACAGACAATTTTCTTATGAATTAGCTTTATTTGAATGACTGATTAAGAAAGAAAAAAAGTCCTATAAATTTATTTGGCTTATATTGCCCAAACTAAATTTACTGAGCATAACTGTTTTATTTTGAAATATATTTTTTCTATAGTAGTTTAATATAGAGTGTTTTTTTTTGGCCCTGAAACTTTTTGTTATTAGTTTTATTACTTACATTTTTCACTGTATTGCATCCTTTGTATATTTCAAAATAAAGAAAATTTAATGCATAAAAGTTTAAAAGTAATATTTTTAATTTAAGTTACAATTTCTCTTATAACATTTATGATATACTTAAAACATAAATGTTGCTAAAAAAACTAACTTATTACAATACAAATATGTAAGGTATTTATTTTTTAAATACATTACCTAAGTTGTTTAGGAAAAAGTTGATGGTTGTGCTAGATGTGAAGTTGAAGGCTCATCGATTAATTAACCAGTTTTAAACATGTCTATCATATTGGCTACAATAAATTTATATTTGCATATAGTAAGTGACCGGGTCCCCGGCCCCGGCTAAAAACAGAGGTTTTTGCAAACCCGGTCGCAGCCCCGGCTAAACAAACACAATTTGTAGGGGTTACTAGCCGGGGCTAACAAAAATAAATTCAACTATTTTCTAGTATTTATCAATTTCTTTACATTTAAATACTTGAATAGCTCAACTATGTAATTCTAATGATTAAAATTACAATTAAAAAGTTACTTACATTTTCAATGTAAATGCAATTTTACAATAAATTTATCTTATGAAATTTATTTAGGATATTTTAAACACCCTGATTGTTAGCAATTTTTAAATATTTCTTCAAATTATTAACTTTGTTTTAAAATTTCAAATAATCAATTTATTACATGATGGCCACTGACTTTTCTAGAATATCCAGGTTGCTGGCTTGTTTGTTCTTTCATCCGGAAAGAACAAAGTAGATCAGATGGATATATGGTGTCTTTAAAAGATAGGAAAAAAAGCAATGATCTTAGAGATAGTATGAGAGTAGTAATTATTTATAGTGTGTATCAGAGAAGATGATAATGATGCCAATGGTTAAAATGATGATGATGATGATGATGATGGTCATTGTCATCATCATCAGAATCAACTTAATCATCATCATCAACTGTATGCTTGATAATGATGATGATGATGATGATGATGATGATGATGATGTAGATAATGATGATGATGATGTAGATGATGATGTAGATAATGATGATGATGATGTAGATGATGATGATGATGATAATGATGATAATGATGATGATGATGATGATGATGATGACAATGACGATGAGATGATATATATACCTTTATATAAAACATATCATGAATTTCAAATAACAATAATATATTTATAAGGAATAACAATATTAATGCAGCCTCGGTCACAAACCCGGCCCCGGCCCCGGCTATGTTTTATCAAACCCGGCCCCGGTCAAATATCAACCCCGGTCGCTTACTATTTGCATATAAACATTGTCACAGCTTTAAATGATATCTAAGCCTTATTTTCCTTTGTACCTATTGTGAAATTTTATACACAAATATTTCAAACAATCACTATCTTTAGTCAAAACTAAGATCAGTGGTGGTAGAATATATCTTTTTGCAGTCTACTAATGTACTATGTAAAATGTTTTTTCCACCAGGCATCACATTTTCATACTGAATCATTGTTTTTTGAACTAATCATATTTTTTTGCTTTGTTGTCTGACTCTCTAGTAAAACATGTCAACTTTGTAAATTCTTTTGTTGAGCTATATGCATAAAAATAACTTTTAAATCTCCACATGGTAAGCAATTATGAGATATTTAGTTTTCTTTGAAATCATTTTGAAGATTTTTGAAAGTTTTTTTCATTTAGGTTGAATGACCAATAATTAATAATTTATAAGAATTTTCGTTATGTAAGAAAACAACGTTTAGACTAGTAATTTATAAGTCTTAAATCTCCTTTTTTTATGCTGAATGCATAAAAAAATATGTCTTTTATTAAATTGTCAATATAATGGCAATACACTGAATCCTCTTCCTGCTTGAAAAATTGAACAAATTCTTGTTCTCTTATTCTATAATGGTAAATAGATTCCATTAAATGTTTTTCTTTACATTGATTTGTTTTTAATATTTATTTTGTTTTTTACATTTGAATTACCTTGTTCATATTAATTTTTATGCATAGATTTTATTTTTGTATATTGGCCCTATGATGCTTAATTAGGGGAGAGATACTTAAATTAGAACACCTAAGAAATAAATCTTTTTTTGCTGAGAAAAATGTAACTTTGATAGACTATTAAGTGATCCATGTAGAAGTATGCTTTTTGTCATATTAAAAATAACAACTGCTATATAATTCCATGTAAACTTCGATTTTTTCCAATCAAGGCAACCTATTTCTTATATTAAAACAGACTATATATATATATATAAATATATATATATATAAATATATGGACTAATCTAGGAAAAAAATTAGGGTGGTGGTACTCCCTGGTCCCAGAAAATTTTAGCGGAAATATTGCCAAATAGAGATATTTTTTCATGAAAAAAATGATATTAGCCATAAAAAGGTCCTCAATTTTTAATCTAAGCAGCGACCAAATATGGTTGACGCTGTCAAAAATGGTCTAGTTGATGCTGTCGAAAATGGCCCCTGATATATATATGTTATATATATATATATATATATATATATATATACAATATATATATATATATATATATATATATGTATGTATGTTATATATATATATATATATATATATATATATATATATATATATATATATATATATATATGTATATATATATATGTTATATATATATATATATATATATATATATATATATATATATATATATATATGTATATATATATATGTTATATATACATATATATGTTATATATATATAAATAATATATATAACATATATGTATATGTATATATATATATATGTATATATATATGTATATATATATATATGTATATATATATATGTATATATATATATATATATATATATATATATTATATATATATTTAAACATTTAAAAAAGATTTAAATATATTTGATTTAGCAAAAGCAAGCAAGTTTAATGAATCAGTTGATTCTCCACCTCTTGCATATCGCAAATGGCGTGTGGCAGATGTTAATAAAATAACAGATATTGCGAATTGTGGTAAGTATTACTTAATAAAATAATACTAGTAATAATTAAAAAAACTATTTTTAACATCGCAAATTTTTTTTGATATATATACTACATAGTACAATAGTACTATGTAGAAAATTAAATGGAATTAATTTACGATATTTTTTAAATAATGATGTTTACAATATATCAATCATAATCTACTTTATTTTAATTTTTTTGACTAGTCAAGATGAAAACTTATGATATGGCCATATTTATTTTGGCAGCCATTATTTAGATTAAAACTATTTCCAAACTTCATCATCAACGTTGAACTTTCATAATTTTTGCATAGTCTTTCTTTTTTTCTTTTTTTTTATAAAATTTATCTTCCTAGCGCTCCAAGGCCATTACCATATAGGAGGCTACTTTTTTTTTTCAATTTTATTTGAAAAATAGTTTGAGTTTACTAAAATTTACAAATTAAACAGAAATATTAAAGCTGTTATCAAATTTTTTAATATATATTTACATCATAATTATATTCTTGCCTTTTTTCAGAGTTTTATCTTTTGGTATTTAAACTTTTAAATACCAAAAATTAATTATAATTTATTTTTAAATTATAGTTATTAAATTAATTATAATTGTTATTTTGTCTGGAATGTCTCAATGTTTTTGATGACTTTTAATGAAACCTAAATATTTTTTCTCAATTAGGCACTTGGTATGTTGAATATGTTCTATAATTTCATCACTTTCTCTTTATGAAAATTTTCAGATAAACATTTGAGGATGATTTGGTAGGTAGTGAATTAACTAAGTCATTTTCAATCTCAGGGGTGAAATATAAACTTTATTTTTACTCTAATAACTGTAAAATGTTACAAGTATCTATGATTTTGACTGAGTCATGAATGATGAGAAAGTTCCATTTTTTGTTTGTACTCTAATTTTATTTGACATAATGTCAACAATGCAGATTTTTCATCTCTTGGAGCAATGTTATTGGGTTTAATTTTTATGTTCAAGAACTCCTTATGGTCTTGTCAAAAACTACAGCAGAATAGCATTTAATTAGAAAGTTCATGCTATTTTCTTTACCATTTTTGCAAAAGATGGCCAGAGTTTGCATAGAACCTTGGGTCTCATGGGTTGCTCGTGAAAGTTTTTTGGATGAATCAAAAACTTTTGACAGTATTATCTTCAACAGCAGTTTTTGTGACAGTTACTTTAAAATTAAAATTTTTACAGTAACTATTTGTACCACCTTTATCATTAAGCATTTGTACCACCTTTGTCAGTAACCATTTTTATTATGGTTTGTAATATATATATATATAATAAGTTGAGTTCAATAAAGAGGCAGTGTATAAACATTTTTAAATTAAAAAAATAAAAAACTGATCAAATAATAGTGATGTCAGTTAAATTATTTTGCGAATGTTCTTATGTTCTTATTTTTATGTTGTTGCCATCATCTTGGTTAAGAACATCTTCCCCTTGTGCCAGTTCTTGTTAAACTTTTGCTTTATTGATTACGAGTGTTTCCCTTATTTTCCACTTATTATTTTTAATTATTATTATGGTCTGATATTCAAGATTAACTTTTAAGGTCTCTGAATTTAGCCAATCTTATGTGTCAGGTTTTGCTTGTTTATAAATGTTAAATGGCTCCTAAACTTGTCCATTTTTTGAATTTTACTGGTGTTAAACACTTCTTGAAATAACTTACTTTTTAGTTGATATTAGCTTTTTAGTTATTATATATATATATATATATATATATATATATATATATATATATATATATATATATATATATATATATATATATATATATATATATATATATATATATATATATATATATATATATATATATATATATATATATATATATAATTTACAGCTTAAGTTATAATTTTAAGTTTAAGTTGTAGTTATTTAAATTTAATCAGTTATTTAAGAAAGTACAAGTAAAAACGCAAATATTACAATATTTAAACCACTTTAAATAGTTATAGAAAACATATATATATAGTTATAGAATACTATTTAATACTCTTGTTCATGCTGACGATAAAACACATTTTTTTTTTAAAGAGTACTAAAATGTTATTCTAAAATGCTATAAAACAACAGCAAAATAATGTTTTATCTTTTAAAAGTTGTTTTGTCAATATAAAGAGCTTGTGTTAATATAAAACAACTTTGTGATGCTGTTTTATTGCTGTTTTATACAGTTTATAACATTAATAACATAAAAAGTCTTTAAAATTTCTATTCTAAGTCTTTAAAATTCTAATTTATAGATTAAAGCATTATTGTCATTAAGTTTTAAACTTCATACTTGTGCAAGAACATCTTATATCTATATCTATAGACCAAACAAGTAAAAAACATAAGATACCACATTTTTTCTAATTTATTGCTATTAAAAATTAAAGTCAATTGATTTTTTTATTCAAATGGCTTTTAAGTTGATTTTTTTGTTCAATTATTTTGTTAAAATTGTTTGCAAAAACAAGTAAGAGAAAAAGTTTGGTTTAATAAATCAAATTCTATTTCCTAAAGTTTACTTAAGTATACTTAAATTATTTTTTTGGAAAAAATTTTTTTTTGAACAGTAAAATATTATATATAAAATTGAAGTATAAATTATTATAAACATAAGTTAAAAATTATATAAGATCATTTTTAAAATGGTGACCTAAATTTAATATGTTGTTGATTATATTATAATTAGTGTTGTATATAAAAAAATTGATAACTTACTTTCTAATTTATATGCATAAAAATATTCATCTCATGTATTTTAAAGTTTGCTTTGTCTGAATTACTATTTTTATTATGCTAGTTTATTCTAACTCAAACACTTATCGATACATTGAACAAAAAACTAAAACATGCTATAGCAAATGTTTTTTATAACCACTGCAGACTAAATATGAAAGGAAAAACTGATTGTGTAAAAGAATCTGAGTTTAAAAAATGCGATGAGCAAAAACATTTATTATTGAAACCAGATATTTTTTTAACGGGAAAAACTATGCAGATATGAAAGCTTAAAATTAGGCTCTCAACCAGAAGTATAATGGCAAAACAACAAATGCTTTTGTTAATATCTCATTTAATAATTTGTTTTGGAAAGTTTAATTAACTTTTAACTTATTTTCTAATGTTTAACTATGATATGAACACAACTTGTCTTGGCACTTGGGGCCCCTTTAAAAAAGATATACTATTCAAAATATTCACAGTTTCAATAAAACTCTCTTTCTCACTTGCACTATGTTTTAAATCTGACATTGCTACTATAACCAGATCTATGTTTAATTTTCAGGAACGATCCTCGCGATGTCACTGGTTATTAAAAATGTTGATGCAATTAAATTTTATAATTATTGAGCGTTAAAATTCTTATAAGTTTTTCAAATTTCTATTTTTTAATTTCGAATTTCAATTGCAAAACTATTCGAGAATTTTAGAAGGCTAAAATTCTTTTGTCTAAATAATTTTTTTTTTTTTTAAATTCCTCAAAACAACTTGCATACTTATAGAAAATCTTTAATCTTGATATCGCTTTAAATAAAATGAAAATATATAAAAAAAAAAATTCAATTTCTATTTGAGATTTCTTGTTAAAATAATTTTCAGTTAGAAGCTTATTGTGTGTTAACAACATATAAGATATAAATAGAATATAAGATTTAAATAGAAACATTTGTATGGCAAACTTTTGTTTGTCTTTGAGTATATTAAGTAAGTTTAACAGTTGAGTAACTTAACTGTAGTAACTTAACTGATTGTTTTGCTTTAGTTTATAGGTAAATTTACTGTGATGTACTTTATACATTAATTAAATCAAACTATATATAACTTCAAAATATTATTGGCTTCCACGCAGAGTTTTAAAGTAATTTAAATTCAAAAGTGCTTTATATTGAATGAAAATTCCTGCACAAGAGAGCAAATGATCATATTTAAAAGATAAAATAATAAAATGATAAAAAACTTCGAAAGATAAAAATATGCTATTCTCTTAAGAATGGACAAAAGAAAAGCTTAATTAAATAGAAAAACAACAAAAACTATATTTAAAAAAAAATCACAAAAATATTATTTTAAAGAAAAAACTCATTACGAAGATATAAAAAGTAACAGTGTTATGATTAATTCGAGTCCTGTACACATATATATTTCTTTGATATAAACTTCATTTTCAGATTGAGTGATATTCTATTCATATGTTCATATGTATTTAACTTATTTTATTTGTTTATTTTTATTTGCCACAAGTTTTCTGTCCTCCGTTTAAATTTTTCACACTCAACAACTTCAAATTTTGTTCCAATTGCAAGGGAATGATATTGACATCGATAGAAGTGAAATGATTTTAGCAGATGATGTTTTTCCAAAGATGTTCTAACTTTTGATAATACTGGAACAAACTCGGTGTCTTCCTTCTCTAAACCAATGTTTTACTTGTTTGTTTTTTTCTGTGCAATTCTTGCCAACAACTTTTTTTTCTATTTTTGTATTTGTTTGTTCTATCTTTATGTTTTTTCTATTTTTGTACAGTTTGTTCTTTTTTTATGTTTTGCCTATGTCTTCTATGTTTGTTCTATGTTTGTTTGTTCTTTCTTTATACTTTGCCTATGCCTCATTTAAAATTAATGCAGGTTTAATTGATGCGATTGATTTTAAAATATTCAATATCATTGAGGCAATACTAAATAAATTTTTCAGTTTTTCTGAGAAATATAAAGCTAATGGAAACACACGCAAAAAAAATGTCTCTGAAATATCTGACAAAACATTTTCTTTAATACCACCCTAAAGTCAAAGTTTGGCATATAAATCTTTGGGACAAGGAGACATTGCATCTTTGGTTTAAAATATCATCTTTGTATTAGTATGTGATAGAAAACACAAAGTGAAAAAAATAGATTGATAATAATTGTACGATTTGATAAAAATAGTTGTGACCTGTTTTCAAAATAGATGTGACCTGTTTTCAAACAATTGTTTTTTCTTTTTGGTTTTCTAAGTTAATGTATCAAGGGATAAAAATTGTTTTAATAAAAAATAAGTACTTAAAAAAATACTTATTTTCAGTGAAAATAGGTAATATAAAATTTAATAATTCATGTTGCTTTCTTTTATTATTCATTTATGCAATTAGTTATTGTAACAAATGAATAAAATGTTACATATATTAACATAATTTAGGTTTTATCTTATTAAATTTATTTTGTTTAAACTTAATTGAAAAGAAATATTGTAAATTTTCTTGTTTTATTTAATTATTTAGGAACTTTTACACCATGTTTTTTTGATCGACTTATGGTAGCTTGTAATGTTGGTTTCAATGAAACTATTCGTGGTTCTGCACCAGCATTCACTCATTTTGTTGCAACAGGAGAAAATAAATTTCTGAATGTTTACCATGTGCTAGAGGTGACTTTTTTTGTGGTGTGACTGTTTACTATGTTTTTTTATTTTAGTTTTTAATTTGTTTGTGCTCAAAAATGTTAATCAATAAGTATGTATATTTTTGTGTATGTATATTTTTGCACCGTTTTTGTAAATAAATTTTTCTATAGATTTTAGTGTACATTTATTTTCAAAAGTAACTTTTATATTATTAAACCTAATTAATGTTAAAATAATAATTATAAAATATATATTAAAGCCTAATTATTTAGTTATTTAAGTTATTAATTAAATGTATTTAGTGGCTTAGATAATTAATAATTAAATTTATTAGTACTTTGATAAGTAAGTCTTCTTTAAAAAAAAGGTTTGTGTGATAAAAAATTTTTATTTTTTTAAATATTGCTAATTTAAAAAAATTAAAACTTACCTTATAAAAAACCACAAGTAAACCACTTGAGAGAACAATAAATTTCCTTCAAAATTGAGTTTAACTATTTTTATAAACAAAGATGGTAGCATTATAAGTATATCTAGCAATGTTATGTTAATTTAATTTCATTATGTGCCTTATTTAACACAGTTAACGTTGTGTTCCCTATTGAACAATTAACATGATGTGTCCTTTTAATCTGTTAAAATTATGTGTCCTGTCAAACTGTTAATATTGTGTGTCTTATTTATAAAATTATGTGTCCTGTCAAACTGTTAATATTGCGTATCTTATTTATAAAAATCATAGTAAAATTTTGATGATTAATATAGTTAAAACATTTATTAAAATTTTGATGATTAATATAGTAAAAACATTGAAATTAAGCTAAATGAAATTAAGCTAAAATTATCTTTAATATTTAAATTATATACTTGGCATATCAGTAAATAAATGTTAATCAAAAAAGTATGGTTCTTGTTTTAAAAGAAAATTACAACATGGATTATTATCACGAAAAGGTCATGAAAAGGCTGGTTGCAAAATTAGCTTCAGCTCTAAAAATTTGCTTTTTTTAGATTTTTACATATGCAAAACCATGGGCAACCTTTCAATGATTTAATTGCAGTTTTTTTATATTACTAGCTCTCTGGACCATATCAATTATATACTAATTCTTTATAGTCTTTTTACTTCGACAGATTTAAGTAAATGGCAAAAAAAAAACCTTAGTTTTGAGTTAACCATTCCTATATATAACTTATGTTAAAACTTATACTTTTTGTTTGTAAATTTCTAATAATAAACTAAGGTTGGAACCAAGGTTGGCCCAAGAATGCTTTAGATTTCTAATAATAAACTAAGGTTGGAACCAAGGTTGGCCCAACAATGCTTTAGGTTTCTAATAATATACTAAGGTTGGATGACCATCAATGCTTTAGATTTTTTACTGATTTCATTCCTCACTTTAATAATCAATTAATTTTCAAGGAATGTAAAACAGTTTTTCATATTCTTACTTCATGAAAGAAAATTTCTTTTCTTCTAAATGATTACTTAATGATTACGTAAAGAAATTTTTTAGGATCACGAAAATGTTTGACCCAATTGTTTTTATTTTAATTTTTGTTGTAAGAAATTTTAAGAAATTAAAAAACTTGTTTATTAGATTTTAGGAATATTTTTGACCCTCTCATTTATTAAGATTCTTGTTTATTCAACAGATGAGGTTATTAGAAAGTAGTTATAGTAATAGATAATCATTTTAAATAAGGAGTGGCTATTAATACTAATAATAATCAATTAAATAATGATAAAAAGCAAAAGAAAAGTATATAAAATTAAAACAAAATTTATTAACAATTATTAAATAATATAATAAATAATGTATCAAAGTAAACAAAAAAATATTTTTATACACAGCAGTGTATCTACTCTTTTTCTAAATAAAGTATGAAATATAATATGAAATATAAAAATACTATGATTAAGTTTCCCTCCCCCTCCTCCTCAGAAAAAACCCACCATCTCTAAACAAATTTATTTACATATTAACAAAATAGAGCAATTTTTTTTCTGCGTTACTGCATAGATATGCCAAATGATGAACCTATAATAAAAAAAAAATATTAAAATTATAAATATAAAATAAAAAAAACATCACATATAAAAACTGGAAATCGATTTACATGTTTTTTAGTCATAGAAGCAAAGAGTTCCAAAAATTCTTAAAAACATTTTTAACGATGGACACATTGAGAAGGTAAGCTATGCTTTCTATCAAAAACAATGACTTTCATTTTCTATAGTTAACTTCCCAATGTTTAAAAATTATAGAATTTGATGCCAAAAAATGTTTCTAATAATAAAGTAGGTTTAAAAAATTTTTTTTTACAAAATATGCGGCATTTAATAGTAAAACAACAATCGCTTATAAATTAAGTACATCTGTAAATACAAACTACAGTGTAACATGTACAAATACCAAAAATATATTATAAATCGATATTATCAATAATATATTATAATTTGTATAATATATAAGAATATAAATTTAAAAACATATATAATAAATTTATATAGATTAAATTTTTAGAGTGTGTTTAAAAAAAAGACAAAGCTTGCTAGGTCTTTTTTAAATATATAATTTTTATTTTTATTGTGATCTTAACATAATTTTAATTTTTATTGTGATCTAAGAAAAAGCCTAAAAAGTATTAAAAAAAAAATCCTCTTAAATTTTTTACAAATATATAAGCATCATAGAATTAATAAAACAATCGAAAACAAATTGTAGATATAAACTAAATTTATTTTTTTTGAAAATCAATAAAAATATATAATTAATATTTAGAAACCTCAACTGGTTAGCTGCAACTGTACAATATATACATACTCAAACCATGATGAACAAGGCTGCTACGTTGAGAAACAAGTTAAGCGCAGTACTACCAGTGGTGTGGTGAAGATTGAACTCAGAACCTTTTGCTTTTGAATCGAGCGCTCTACCACTACACCACTACCACATAATATTATATATATTGTTATAACCACAATTTGTTCTTGAAGATATTCACATTGTCAGAATTT